TAGTCATTAATACACAAATGGTAATAACATTTTCCCCTCTTTGGGCGTTTGGTGCTCACGCACCGTCTCATGGAGACGCCGGCGGAGCCCAATCCGCGCGTCTGTCCGAGACAACGAACACCATAACAGGGAAGAATACCATGGAAGAAGAAATTACAACTAAGTCAAACTATGCAGTGGCTGTGAAAGCTCCATCAACAATGAGCCCTAACTCAAATCGCCATGGCGCCCAGCGTTAAAGCTCGCTACTCGACTCACAATGGGATGCCAGCGATTATTTTTAAATCCAATGACTATTATGGGGTTATGGCAGAAGAGTGTAGATTCACAAATATCGGCAGATTTCTTCGTACAAGGCCTCAAATTGAAAAAATCCGATCCAAATTTGCTGAGAAGATATCTGTAAAAGGTAGTGTAAGAATAGGTGTATATGATTTTCACACTGTATTTCTAGATTTTACCAATGAAGAAGACTTTAAATCAGTATGGTATAGGCGCTCTATCGAAATTGAGGGCCAAATTATGTGGCTAGAAAAATGGACTCCGGACTTTAAGACGGATGTTGATTCCCTTATAGTTCCAGTGTGGGTATTACTCCCAAAGCTTCCTTTTCACTGTCACACATGGAATTATATCAAGCAAATTGTAGGCCCGATTGGAACACCCCTGTCCATGGACATAGCTACAGATTATCGCACTAGGCCAAGCATGGCTAAAGTAAGGGTTGAAGTCGATCTTACTAAGCCAAAAGCTTACTTCTGTTTGGGTGGGATCTGAAGATCAACAAAATCCGCTGAAAGGGTTTAAACAAAAGCTAGAGTATAAGAATGTTCCAAAGTACTGCAGGGACTCTAAACTCCTTGGACACTCGATAACTCAATGTAGGAAAATTAAAAAAAAAAAGCCAGAAGATGATGGGAATGTCAAGGGAAAGAGTGTACCAAAAGAGATGGGCAACAATGAACTACAAGATGAAAGTAGCAGGGGAAAAACAACAGGAAAAAAAGGCAATGGGAAATGAGAACCAACAAAAGGATATGAAGGTGCAAATTTCTGATAAAGGAAATGAAACAGAGGAGGACAAGAAAGGGCAAGAAGACAATGAAAGTGCAGTTAAGGCTAGTAAGGAGAGCAATGCAAACAAGGACCAGATTAAGATTATTGAAGATGAAAAAAGTAGGAAAATAGAAGGTATAAATAATGACAAACCATCTGCTAGGGAAAGGACAAGAAACAAAAATAGGAAAAAGAAAAAATCAGAAAATGCCAAAAAAGAAAAAAAAAATTCTCTCAAGCCATTCCAATCCGAGGAAAGTGGCAGAAAATATCCTACAAAGACCCTCAAGATAGTTCAACATGACTTGTATGAAACTACAACAGAAGGACAAAATCAACTTAATCGAGTGGGAACAACTGGGAACCATGACAGAAACTCAGAGATGGCCTGCAATAAAGAGTAGTGGCTGAAACTAGTGGGGAGATATGAATGAAATATGAACCAATAAATTAAATCAAGAAGACTCGAAAGTAGAACAGACAATAATATTAACAACTATCAGAATGTTACTAAGAAGGAACTAATGGTGGTATATGCTACAGCATATCTGATCTACCAATTGATCATTGAACAAGAGGGAATTAACATCATAGTGGAATGAATGAGAGGATAGATCATCATGAGGTCAATAGTAAAGAGGGAGATATAGAGCATATCCAGCAAGTTCATACAAACACAAGCAGGGAGATACATATAGCAACTCGAGGGCGATACATACAGTAAATTTAAAAAAAAAGACAACGACCAGAACCTCTTTCACCATAGGAAGAGGAAGAACAGAAGCAGGAAACAGGAAAAAGACAAAGAAACAATGCAGCTCCCGGCAAAAAAGGAAGCAAAAGAAGAGATACTATCCCCTATAATTCCCATGATTAAATTAACTTTGGAATATAAGGGGGTTAGGTCTAAGAAAGCCATTCATAGGCTCAAAAATCTCATTAACATCAACAAAAGCTCAGTTTGTAGCTATCTTTGAGCCTTTTGTAATAAAAGATAAAATAGAAGGTTATAGAAAATTTTAGGATGCCATTCTGCTATGCAAAATGCAATGGCCAGATATGTGTTTTCTGAAATCACACCTATATCGACATTGTGGAAGATGAGGAGCAACATAATAACCATCAAATTTACTGAGTGCCACGATAACTCGGGAATCTTTCATCACACAATATATGCTAAATGTTACTACAGAAGAGAGAAAAGATCTTGGAACAGTTTAGAAATCATGAGCCAAACTATTGATGCCCTTTGGTGTGCTGGACTTCATGTCATTGCGATATCCGAGGAAAGAAGCTAGAGGAAAGGCACATAGAATGTATAGAAGTCTTGACTTTATATTAATTGTATGGACAATTGTGGAGTCACAATATTAGGTTTCACCGGTCCCAATTTTACTTGGTGTAATAATAGAAGACCAAGAAACATGGTGTGGAAGAGATTAGACCAGATTGTTTATCAATGATTTTAGGGCAAAAATTCCAACGTAACATTGTTAGACACTCATCAGAACATGATCAGATCATAACCATTGTTATAAAGTGTTCTGATTCAATCAAAATAACATCAAGTACTTTAAGGTTCCTCAATCTTGGACAAACACCATGATTTAAAGGATATTGTGAAAGAAGTTTGGAACACACAAATTCAAGGCACCTATTGGAGATTACAACCCAAGCTTTAATCCTTGCTAAAAGACTCATTAATTGGTCCAGGGAAGATAATGGGAGACATTCATGAGCAAGTTATCAAATGGGAAGAAAAGATCAAGCCTTAGAGGAAATCGACATAATATCCAACAGATCAAGGAGATTGAGATTAATAAAGTGCATGCAGAATATGTGAATGGCTAGTTTGCAGGAATCAACTCCTCAAACAGAAAGAAAAAAATTAAATGTTTAAGAAAGAGATGCAACACCAACTATTTCCATAGTATGCTGAGAGACAAAAGAAGGAAATTACAAGTGCAAAGAATCAATAATAGCAAAGGAAGATGGACTCAAGGAGAGGAACATAGTAAGGCAGCAGAGAAGCATTTCAAACAGCTGTTCAATCTTCCTAAGCTAATGATGAATAGCTCCATCCTGCAATGCACTCCTCAAAGTATTTTTGAGGAGCATAACAAAAGATTAACGAGTCTACCCACGGAAGAGGAAATAAAAGAAGCAGTTTTCAACCTCAATCCAGACAGTACAGCGGGACCAGATGGTAATAACGGAATTTTTTTCCCAAAAATTATTGGGATATAATAAAAGAGGATAATTAAGGACTATATTTAGAATTTTTTCAAAGGAAAAAACCTCACCTAACTTTTTTTCCCAGTACTTGTTGGTTCTCATTCCAAAACCAAAAGTACCTTCTAGATTTTCAAACTTTAGACCATTAGTCAGTTCTAATTTCACCAACAAAATCATTTCAAAAATTTTAGCTAGTAGACTTAATCCCATCCTTCTTGATATTATTTCTGAAAATCAAAGAAGTTTTGTAAAAGATAGACTGATTACAGAGAATGTTCAATTGGCCCAGGAGATTATCCCGTCTACATCTCATACTAATAAAGGAGGAAATATTTTAATGAACCTTGACATGGTAAAGGCTTATGATAGAATGTCATGGACCTTTATCATTGACGTTTTGAAGAAGTTTGGCTTCTCAGATTTATGGTCTGACATAGTGTTCAATCTTATCTCCAGAGTTTGGTATTCATTCCTCATTAATGGCTCAAGAGCTGGTTTTTTCACATCCTCACAGGGTCTTAAACAGGGAGATCATTTATCACCTTCTCTCTTTATAATTGTTGCAGAAGCTCTAACAAGATCCTTAAATAGTTTACATGCTAATGAAAAGTTTGTTCCATTTTCTATGCCTACTAATGCTCCACTAATTAATCAATTGGCCTATGTAGATGATATTATCATATTCAGCAGTGGCAACACAAAGTCCATCGAGTTGGTCATGAAGCAAATCAGCAAATACGAACAAAGCTCTGGATAACAAGTCAATAGCAACAAAAGTCATTTTCTCACTGCTCACGGGACTGCAGCAACATGAATAAACAGACTGAGAGCTTGTACTGGATTTATGGAGAAGGACTTTCCATTCATTTATTTGGGATGCCCGAGGAAAGAAGATAGAATATTTTGACATCATGATTAACAAGGTTGTGAAAATGCTAAATGGGTGGCAAGGAAAGATACTTTCATATGGTGGAAGGATTATACTCATCAAGCATGTGTTGGAAGCATTACCAACTTATAACCTTAGCGCTTTATCTCCTCCAAAAGGAACCTTCAAGCTTTTAGAAAAACACTTTGTTGATTTCCTCTAGGGTTCCAATGGTGACACCAGGAAATATCATTGGAGTTCATGGAAGAATTTGTATTATCCGATAGAGGAATGGGGAATAGGTATAAGAAGAATGGAATACATCAGTGAAGCTCTTGCAATTAAGAGATGGTGGAGGTTTAGGGCCAAGCCCTCTCTACTGGCAACATTCTTGAAATAAAAATACTGTGTTAGGGCTCACCCAACTACTAAGAAATGAGCATTGGGAGATTCTCATCTTTGGAAGAGTGTGACTCAGGCTAGACAAAAGGCTGAAATTCATATGATCCGGCAGGTTAACTCAGGAAGTAGTAGTTTTTGGTGGGATAACTGGACAGGAAAAGGCGCTTTAGCTACTAAATTTCCAGAAGCATCAAATAGTACAAGAACTTTGGTTAACTCTTTTATATCTAATGGAAAATAGAATTAATGCAAGCTTAGAGAAGTCATCCCTACTCATATAGTTCAACACATATTAACTATAGAGATAGGGAGACATAACATGAATGACAATCTTGTCTGGGCCGTGACAGAAAGTGGAAAATCGTAGATAGTATTCAATTGGTGATCAAGCAATCAAATCATTAAGCGTAGGATTGGATAAATAAACCAGTATGATAAATCAAGAAAACAAAATCAATATTCGAATAACAATAGTCATGAAAGAACCACAACACTAGGTTGTGAAGTTTAACTTCACATAGACATGGCAGCAAAATAACTGATCATACAAAGAAACATAAAAACAAATAAGTTTGGCGGAAGAAAAGATGAAACTCGGCCTCCACGGCCGCTCTGTGCTCTCCCTTGGTCAAAAGTCTGTCAAAAGTTACAAAAATAACATTTTTACATGTATTTATACTAAGTAGGATCAGGCCCAGACGAAAATACCTTCTCCCGCGTGAAATAGAAAAATAACTCTATAAAAAGTGCACAGGCGCACCGCATGGGGCGACGCACAACACAGTGTGGTAGTGGGGTTTATCAGGAACCTTGCAATTTCGAGGCAAGAGCAAAATAGGCAGCCACGGTGCGCTACGCGACGCCACACGCACCGCAGCTGTGGGAATTTGAGAAAATATAAAACATGAAAGTTGTAGATTTTTTAAATAGCTTTACCACGATATATTGTAGAGCCCAAATGGATTTTTGAGCGAAAGGTTATGCGCATTTTACTAGACAATGCGCAGTATGTCTGCTCGATTCTTCGTTTCGTTCTTAAAGTGCACTATCATCCGTTGATCCCCAAACACAATCCCAACTTAATCATTGGGCTTTTACTCAGATTTCAAAGCTATGGAATAGCTTGATTCACTCCATAACATCTACATAGATCAGAATCGCTCCTACAAGGCATAAAACACACAATTAGTGCAAAACACTAGCGATTAACGCTCAAACTTAATTAAAGTGTAGTAAATTAGAGTGTAATAAGAGACTAAAATACGTAATTATAGCTTATCATCAACACCCCACACTTAAACCATTCCTCGTCCTCGAGCAATCAAACTACACTTTATATAGACACGACTTTTTTTAACAATTCTCCCAACTCATCACACCAAGAATATTTAAAATAGACTAAGCACAAAAGTGTAACCTCTTCACCTCAAGATTTAAACTCACAAGTACCACGCATTATTCACAACTCACTCACTTACTCTAACATAGAGGTCAATGACATTACATTTCCATCATGAATCAAGTGCCCTCACACAACAAAAGAGAGTAGTTCCACACACAATAAAATTTAAGAACAATTAGGAACTCCAGATAGAAAGAATTCACTCACTCTCAAAAATAACATTCATATGCCACAAAAGATGCACCATAGGCTTGCCCGTAGTGTACTACTCAACTAGTCAATCTCATTCAGTCTAGGATCAAGTAGGACTTTAATTGATTGTAATGTCGGCCCCGGGACGGGTAGGATACATTTAGATTTAATACATACACTTTAACATTTAAAACCCCACAGTTATGTCAAATCATAACTCCACCTTCACATCAATGTATATTAACTTCATACTTTTTTAAGCACAATTATATCAAGAGTTACGACTATCAAAGAATATTTTTCACAACAATACAATCATTTTTTTTCTTTTTTCAATTCAAGTGGCTCTAACTTTTTCAAAACAGTGTACCTTTCTCCTTATTTCATTAGTTCCACTAAAAATCCAAACCAACCATCACACACTTTAACTTTTACAAAGTTCATAACAATTCAAGTGCTCATGAGAGGTTAATAGGTTCAAATAAATGGTCAATTCAAACAAATGGGTAAGGCTTGTAATGTAGTTTCCAAAGAAATAGGATTAAATGCTCAAAGGGGTTAACTATGATACATAACAATATATATATGGCTCAACAAAGAAACGCCTATATCACTTCCAAGACTGAATAAAACTACTATTTCATTTTACAAACACACAGGACAAGTTCTAGACATCAAATACAAAGCACAAAACAACACACATGGCACATAACTCACTCCGAATTGGACTCATCAAGACACTCTAGTCAAAGCAGTTAAGAAAAGTTAAGATCATACAATTTAAGGTACTTCTACATGAGTCAAAAACTGAGCCTAAGCGTCACAGCCAAAGTACTCACTATTCTCAAGGCATAACAAAGTCAAGAGATATTGCTTCAATTTAAAACACAACACAATGGATCTTATTCCTAAAAAATAAAATTAGCTACACCTGGTTCAAACAAAATCCTTGGAAAAGAATCACGGCACAAAGAAAAACCAAGGGGGAATCACTGCATTACCTACCAAAAAAAATTTTTTGTCCTTTTTCTTTAGACTTAAATCCCTCAAGAAAACTGTCTAGAAAATCTATCGTCAGGAAAAGTCCAGTTTTTATACTTTTTTTTCTCGATTTTTCTTAGGAGCTACTAAAATACTACTCAACTACGAAAATAAAAATAAGAAGCTAAAAAAATAAGAAATTAACATACTAATATAATACTACTAATGATCTAAAGGAATTCTCCCACTCCACACTTAAAAGAGTGGAGTGTCCCCAATGCACCAATAAAACAAACAATAACGAAGGTGGACAAGAAACTTCCTGAAAGGCCAAAGGCCGAAGCAATAGCGGCTCACGGGTACTCAGACTTCTTCCAGGCATGGTCCTTTGTGTGGGCACCCCACACTTAGTTCACACCATCTAGCTGACGTTTGCACTCTTCCAATGGCTTTGCTTCCTATGCTTATAATCCTACAAAAGAAAAAACAGACACTACAATAATAATAAGATAAATAACAATAAAGAAAGCAGTAAAGCTGGGTTGCCTCCCAACAAGCACCTGATTTATCGTTGCGGCATGACTTGAACTACTTTTGTCTCTACCTTGAACTTGTGAATTGAGCCCCTAATTTGGTTTCAAGCTTTTTGCTATGCTCTCGGGGTGGTAGTACAAATGTAATTGGGCCAAGTAACCAATTTCGTATTCTATACATCTTGGACTTCGGATGAGGTATGTAATTTTTTCTCTCTGGCACGAGAAATTCAAGAATGAAAGCACCCCGTTCCTCATCCATTGGATCCTCCAAAGGCTCAGATGATTCAGTTTCCATGTCATCATCTAAACACAATGTTGAAAAGTGTATGGAATGAAGACCAATACGCCCTAACTCTAGAATTGTATTACTCTTTACATCCTCATATTTACACACACTAGAGTCTCCAACTATAATATTATCTACTTCCTCACATGACTCTAGAGTGTTTTCATCAACATGGACATCATCAATAAAAGTATGGTCGAATGATTGACTCTCCAGTTTTAGCTCCTCAATTTAGCATATGAGTTCCTTTTCAGTTTCACATAACTCAGAACTATTTTGTTGGGCGTTAGACGCATCAACCTTTGCAATCATTGAGCTCCCAAGTAGTGCATATCAATGCCAAGTTTTTCATTCTCTTGTCCCAGTTCAGCTCTTCCTTCTATAAAGTGTCTCGTCCCTTCAGTAATTTCCTCATGTTGAACCTCATATGTTTTCAACTTTTCAGCTTGTTCCGCTAGCCATGTTTGGCTCAAAATCTCCACTTTTTTCAAAATTTCCCTTTTGTTGGAACTCGCTCTCTTCAATCAATTCTTCCATATTAGCTTTCATTCTTGTGATTGTTTCCCTCATTCTTCTCTTATCTTTTTTGAGTTCATCTTGTTGCTCTGCTACTTGCCTCAGAATATCCCTAATATATTCATCACGCTCCATATCCTGCCCTTCATTTCCCCTATCAAACTCACAAACACTGTTAGAAAGATCATAATAAGGGCTCAGAGAAGGATGAAAAGAATTAGGACAACCATCCCAATGGCCATCTTGACCACCACATATATTATAAATATTTCTAACAAAGGATTGAGATTTTGCGCACAACTTGCTCCCGAAAATATTTTGACAATTTTTCCACCAGTGGGGTCCTCCACAATATGGACTCCACATAGACATGGTATCAAAATAACTGATCATACAAAGAAACATAAAAATTAATAAGTTTGGTGGAAGAAAAGATGAAACCCGGCTTCCACGACGGCTCTGTGCTCTCTCTAGGTCAAAAGTCTGTCAAAAGTTACAAAAATAACATTTTTACATGTATTTATACCAAGTAGGGTCGGGCCCAGACGAAAACACCTTCTCCATCGTGAAATAGGAAAATAGATCTGTACAAATTGCACAGGCGAACCGTATGGAGTGACGCGCCATGCAGTGTGGTAGTGGGTTGATCAGGAACCTTAAAATTTCGAGGCTGGAGCAAAATAGGCAACATCCGTATACCACGCTGCGGCCCATGCGATGCGGCTTTCGGAATTTGTGAAAATATAAAACTTGAAAGTTGCAGCCCTTTTAAATAGCTTTCCAATGATATATTATGGAGCCCAAACGAATTTCTTAACGAAAATTTATGTGCATTTTACTGGACAATGCACAGTATGCCAGCTCGATTCTTCGTTTCGTACTTAAAGTGCACTATTATCCAATGATCCCCGAACACGATTCCAACTTAATCATTGGTCTTTTACTCAGACTTAAAAGCTCCAGAATAGCTTGAATTCATTCCATAACATCTACATAGATCGAAATCACTCCTACAAGGCATAAAACACACAATTAGTCTAAATTACTACCGAACCCCGCTCAAACTCAATTAAAATACAGTAAATTAGAGTGTAATATGAGACTGAAATACATAATTATAACATATCATTACAGTAACAACAAGATAATAATACTAGGAAGAGGAATACAGAAAATTCAACGTCTAGAGGTTAATTATTACTAGTCCACCCTAAATAAAGTAAGTTATAAAGCCATAGAGAACAACTAGCTAGTTACAAATAATATATAAAACAAATATATTAAGATTCATAGAACAAAAATAGAACAAATATATTAAGATTCCACTTGAATTGCAATAAACAACTAGCTAATTACAAATAATATATAGAACAAATATATTAAGATTCATAGAAAAAATACATTAAGATTCTACTTGAATTGCAATAAACAAAAAAAAACAAAAAAATTAAATAAATATGTTAAGATTCAAGGCGGATAAACGATGAAAACAAAAACTTACCTTGCCGGAAAATAATCACGCCCGAACGCTGGATTTGCTCCCTGAAAAGAAAAAAAATTAATTAGTTGGGTTAAAAAAATCAAATCTAGTTGCGAGAAAGGAAGAAGGGAGAAAGAGAAATTCATACCGCAGGAAAATTGACACTCAAACACGGTCGCCAACGATGGAGGAGAAAGAGAAGAGAAAGAAAGGAAGAAAAGAGAAAGAGAAGGAGAAAAGAAGAAATGGGTAGGGGGAGGGTTTTAAATTAGATTTCTAACCGATCGGTCGGGAACAAATATAAAATTAAAAAAAGAATATAATTTTCGACCGCGTTGGTATAAAGCAATAACAAAAAATTTAAAACAATTTCCAAATGAATCGGTCGGAAAATAAATAAAACAATTAGTTATTTAATTTATAATTTTTAGACTATTTTAGACGAAGTCCAAAACTGATCAAACTTTAAAAAGTTGACTTTCATGGACCGGCTGAATGGGTCGCAAATTAAATTTCCGGATTTTTGCGCCAAAATATTAGGACAAGTGTTGTTGGAATGTGGTCGAAAAATTAAAAATAAAATTAAAAAACTTCTTTATTATATTTGCTGACCGAAATCGTCGGTAATCCGTGTTCCGAGACATCTCATAGCTCCATTTGGTATTATATCACTTGCTTGCAAAGTCCGTATCGTTTCTTCGAAAAGCTTTTATGTAAAGTTTTGAAGAAAACGTGATTTTTGACTTAAAATGAGGTTAGATTTTACTAAGATTAACGTTTTTGGTAAATGACCTCGGATAGGTGTTTTGACGAATCCAGTAGGTTCGTATTTTCTTGAACTTGAACACATGTTTGGTTGGGGTCCCGAGTGATCCGATAGCATTTCGGCGCATTATGTGAAAGATTGGAAATTTTAGTTTTGAACTTGAAATTATGAGTTTTAATAATCGATTCGTGATTCTAAATGTTAATTTGGTGATTTGAGGTAGTGAGCGAGTTTATATGATGTTGTTACACTTGTGTGAAGGTTCAGATTGAAGTCTGAGGGGTTCGGATGAGTTTCGGATGTAATTTGGTTGAGTTTGGAGCTGTTGAAGCTAAGCAATTGCTGGTGTGAGATTGCATGTCTCGCAATTGCGAGAACCTGATCGCAATTGCGAGCCTCGCATTTGCGATACCAGGCTCGCAAATGTGAAAGTGCCCTAGGAATGAGGACTTCGCAAATGCGAATAGGTGATCATATTTGCGGACTAGTGTGAGGTTGCATTTGTGATCCTTGTGTCGCATTTGCGACGACTAGACTAGGTAGGCAGCTTTGCAAATGCGAAGCTTTGGCCGCATTTGCGATACTGGGTCCTTTGCAAATGCAAAGGAAAGGTCGTATTTGCAACATTTGTGCACAGCTGCTCTGTTCGCATTTGCAGACAGTTATTCACATTTGCGGAAAGTTCGTAATTGCGATACCTACAGTTGGGTATAAGTTGGCCAAAACGGGATTTAACTCATTTTACATTATTTTCAAATCCTAGACTCCATATAGGCGACTTATTAAGAGCTTTTTCTTCCTAAATTCATTGTAAACAATTTTAACTGATTTTCAATCAATTTCAATTACTTTTACATGAATTTTAACATCAAATCCATGAATTTCAAGGTAGAAATTAGGAGTTTTGGGTAGAACTTAAAGATTTTATAAAATTGAGATTTAGTCCTCAAATTGAGGTTGAATTTTGAAACAAATCACATAATCGGGCTCGGGGGTGAATGGGTAATCGGAATTTTATTTGAATCTCGAATTTTGATCAAGCGGGCCCGGGATTGACTTTTGTGACTTTTTTAAATATGATGAAAAAATTAAATATTTTTCATTGGTGGGTAGTTTCTAAAGCTTGTTTTGAATTGTTTGAACGATAATTGGCTAGATTCGATTTGTTTGGAGGATTGTTCGAAAGGAAAGGCCATGGTTGATTGTTAATTTTGTTGCAGAAGGAAGTAAGTGTCTTGTTAACCTCCATTTGAGGGAATTAAGATAGAATTGAGTTTATTTGTTAAGTGAATTATGTGTTGGGCCGGCTTATATGCAAGGTGACGAGTGAATATACGTGGGCCATGGGATAAGCATACGAGTGAAATTTGCCTTACTTGTACCATGTTAACTTGCTTATTGTGTCTTTCCTCCCTTAGATAGATGGTCAATTCTTTGATTACTTGCTTTCAAGGTACTTCTTATATTGAGATTGTTGCGGTACTGGGTGTTGGAAACATAGAAGTTGTTATCTGGTTGTTGGCTCTAGCTGTGGAAGGTTCTTGATAAGTGGGATTTTGACTGCTTATTAGCACCTTTTAGCTTTTGTTATAGTTCAAAAATATTTTTTGTTTCTGATACTAATGAAATTGTGCAAATTGTAGGAATGCAGGAATTTCGGTCTCCCCAGATGAAATCCGACTCAAAAAGGAGTGTCCCGAAACACAAGGCAATAAAGGGCGCAAAAGCACAAATGTGCAGTCCGCAGAAGGAATTCAGCGACCGAAGAAGAAATTGCGGACCGGAGAATTCCATCTGCAGCCGAAAACCAAGAAGGAAAATCTAGCAGAACTTTCAGCTAAGAGTGCGGCCACAAAACTTGGCTAAGAGTCAAAGATCAGAGAGTATGCAAAAAGTCCACTTCTAGGAGCCTTTGTGAATTGCGGACCGCATAAGAATTGTGTGGCTGCAGAAGATTGACTCGCGGCCACAGTCCAGAAATGTGTGGCCGTAGTTCAGAAATGTGCGGCCGCATAACTCCTCCTCCTGCCAGCTGAAGAAATATGCAGACCGCACATGGAATTGTGTGGCCGCACAACCTCCCGAGGGGCATTTTTGTCTGAGATTTTCAGCCTTGTATAAATAGACGAGTTTTACAAAATTAGGTCATATTTTTAACATACAAGATGTTGTAGCCGTTTCTCTTTGTTATTTTAGGAAGTTTTAGCTTATTTGAGCATTATAACATTAGATTTCATCATTTTAATCTTCCATTATGAGTTTAATTAGCTTTTCTTCTCTATTTTCTACAATTTTCATTATGAGTAGCTAGACTTTTACTAGGGTTGTGACCCAGCTCTAGTGTGTAAACCTTTTGGATATCTAATTTAGTGCTTGTTTATGATTGGGTGTTGATTATTTAGCTTAGTTCATGCTTCAATTTTAGAATTAATGGTTGCAAACAATGATTCATGCCTATTTGACTTAGTCTCTACTTGAGAAAGAGAGACCTAGTCTAGGTTAACTTAACTAACAAGAAATTGGGTTAATTGAAATATTGATTAACCTAGTTAAAAGGTTCAAACTAGAGATAGTAAGAACCCGACTTGAGCTCATATCAACTATTTTGTTTGATACCCAATTGGACTTGAGAAAGACAAATTAGGCAAAATCACTCTCTGACCAAGAGGTATTGAGTGGGTAAGGTAGAGTTGAGAGCTATAATACACCCCGATTAATAAAACAAGCATAAAAGTCTTATCCCATTAGGAAAACACTTAGGTTATGATCACAGGCCTAGGCCTTTAATCCAATTGGAAAAGCCTCAAAAGCATTTATCTAGAATCTAGTTTCTTTATCTTGCATTCATTAGAGTAACTGTAGAAATAAAAAACAAAGCCGTGTTGTGGAAGTGCAATCTTAGATAACCCATTTGCTTGCTTCGAATATATACTCCTAACTCCCATCATAACTCCTAGTGGATTCGACCCCGACTCCTAGTTGGATAATTGTTATTGCATACGACCATATCATATCTCGTATTGAGGTGTGTTGTGGACGTCACCAATTTTTGACGCCGTTGCCAGGGAGTCAAAATAGTGCTAGCTATATATTTGGGTGTGTTTTTGGAATATGTTCTTTCCCCTCCGTGTTACTAACTTGTTTGAGAAATCGTAGGTACAACCATGGCGAACAATGAGCTCGGAAATTTGCCTTTGAGGGATGTGGACGTCGAGGATGAGCAATTCGATGAGGTTCCTCTTGAACCTCAAGCCAATAGAAGAGGCCGAGTGCCTCATGACAATGTTCCCGCTCCACCCCAACCTCCACCACGAGCGGCTCCACGCCGGGTGTTACCCAATGAAGTATATGCTAGTGCGATAGTCCCTCCCCGTATTAGGGTGGGCAACTTTCAAATCACCAATGTGATGCTCACTTTGCTAGAGCAACGAGGTTTCTTCACCGGTGCTCCAAGTCAACATGCATACAAACATTTGAAGGGGTTTGTTGACACTTGTTGGGGGAGCAAACAAACAAATGTCTCTGAGGAATCATTGAGGCTAAGACTTTTTCCCTTCCATCTACGGGGGAAAGCTTTAGATTGGTTGAAAAGTTTGCCAAACCATTCGTTTCACTCTTGGGATGAGTTGGTGGAGAAATTTATTGCTAATTTCTTCTCTCCCGGCATATGGCTACACTTCGAGATACGATTTTGGCATTCAAGCAAGAGCCGTATGAACCGCTACATGAGATTTGGGAGCAATATAGAACAATGGTCAAGGAATGTCCCAACAATGATATGACGCAAAACATTATTCAACAAACCTTCTATCGTGGGATTAACACAACCAACAAATTTGTAGTGAATCAACATGCCGGCGGTAACTTTGTGACTACGCCTTATGCGGAGGCATGTGAAATTTTGGATGAAATGGTGGAAACATCATCCGTGTGGCAATCCCGGGCTAATGTTCCACAAGGTAATCCGAACATAATCCACCTTCACAAAGAGTTGCATGACCATGGGCAAGCCATTGCGGAACTGACCACCACCATGAATCAACTAGCAAAGGCTCAACTTCAACAAGTGCAAAATCCTAAGCAAGTCAACCATGGAAGAGGTGAACATGATGGTAACAAAAGAAGGACCAAGGGTCCGCAAATGCAAAACTGAGTGCAGAATTATGTGCAAGAAGATAGTAGTTTTGATCAAGATGATTCTTATAATGAACAAGAAGAGGAGTTGTTACATGGGAACAACTTTCAAAGGTAAACAAATAATTTCCAAGGGAATAACAATGGTAACCTCAAATCAGTCAAGGCAATTGGAATTCTAACAATCAAGGCAATTGGAGCGGTAACAACAATCAAGGGAATTGGCATAACAACAATAATCATGGAAATTAGAGTGGTAATAATCAAGGAAATTTAGGGGTAACAACCAAGGCGGATAGAACAACAATCAAGGCAACCGGGGATCGGGTTTTCAAAAGCCCCCGATGTATCAACAACTG